TACTACTCTACTCTACTACTCTACTACTACTACTCGTACTCTCTCTACTACTCTCTACTCTCTCTCTCTCTCTCTCTCTCTCTCTCTCTCTCTCTCTCTCTCTCTCTCTCTCTCTCTCTCTCTCTCTCTCTCTCTCTCTCTCTCTCTCTCTCTCTCTCTCTCTCTCTCTCTGTGTGGAGAAAGTTCATACAAGTTTGCAACTTTGATAGTCTCATCCTTCGAAAGACTGGCCACGACTTCCCTTGAAGGAAAGAATCACTAAGACTCTCCAAAGTACTGCTGAAGTTTTCTTGGATGCTTTTGTGGAGAATATCTTTCATTTCGTCAAACAACCCATGCTGGTTCAGGTACAGTGGATTCACCCTTATAACTAAATTGGTAGCACGTTTTGTTTAATGGTTGTGGGGTTAAAAGAATTAGTGTGCGGTTGGATAACATAGTAGATGAGCTAGAAGCTTTGGCCATTGAATGTTAATCCTTTTGAAAACATTATGCGCCAAACTATAAAGAAAATAGTCATAAGATGTACTACTGAGCTGTGTTTCAACAATTGGAAATGGTTTTCAACTCGCCAAGGTACGATTTTAATCCAATCTCATCCAACTTGGGTGATCCCCTTGCTGGATCAATCCATTATTTAACAAAGAAACTAAAAGAAGCTAATAAGAAATTAAAAGCGGAGTCTTTTATTGAAGTGGGAAGGAATGTGAATTTGTATTTATGTATACAAAAGAAATCAAATCAATACAATTTTTTCACTCTTCAAGTATAAATACATAGTACACAGATATATAGACCTCTTAGGACTTTTATAGACTATTTATATACCTTTCTAGTAAAAATTTTCCCTCTCTTAGCATACACCCTATTTTCTTGGACGAAGTTACAAGAAGATACAAGAAAACTTTAGACTTCACTCATTCCAAATTCATATTTGCATGCATTGCATGTTTTTTACTCCTTTCTCTTAATCTTGGAATAGGAACCTTGGAACTCTACAAAATTTTCCAACAACATTTCAAAATTTCCCTTCAAATAAGTTCCATCAAAATGTCCCTTATATTCGAATGTAATGCCCAAAATGCCCTTGAGCAGAATAAAGCTTATTTCTAACATAGCCAACATCCTGATCCGACTCGGGTGATTTTTCAATCACTGCTTTTGGGTTTATATCATATTTCATCTAGAAATGAGTTATATCTTATCATTCTTAGAACTTTGTTTCTATAACATCGTTGGGAGCATTTAGGGCAACTATGCACCTGTAAATCCAATCGGTGAGCCAGTTATGATTTCAAGTGTCGAAGGACAAATACCAAATGACTTTCCCGAGGGGGTCTACATTAGAAATGGTATGTATCATCGTACATTATGGATAGATTTTGAGGTTTTCCTTGTTCTACAACTTGCTCTTTATTAGGTTTTTCTTTTTTACTTTCTCAATGGTGTATATAAACAGGCCCCAATCCTTTATTTGGAGAAATGACTGCAACACAATCCATCTTTGGAAGATCAAGTGCTATTTGGGTAGAAGGTGACGGAATGCTCCATGCATTGTATTTCCACAAAGACAACAAAGGAAATTGGAATCTTTCATATAAAAACAAATACATTGAGTCTGATTCCTTCACATTAGAGAGGGAAAGGAATAGACCCCTGTTTCTTCCGGTAGTAGAAGGCCAACCTGCTGCAGTTTTAGTTGGTGCACTTCTAAATCAGGCAAACCATCATAACTTTGATCACTGAGATCAACATGTTTAAATGAGAAGTACCTAGAAAGGGGAGAGAGAGAGAGAGAGGGACTTCATTTAAAACTCCACCTGAATAAGCTTAAAAAGCATGTCTATCAACCTTATTTTCTTTTGATTTCTACAGTTGAGATTCGGTAAGCATTATCGAGATATGAACAATACTAACATTTTCGAACATGGGGGAAAGGTCTTCTCAATTGCAGAGAATCATTTGCCTTATGAGATTGATGTCTCGAGCCTAGACACCATGGATGCATGGGACATCAATGGTGCATGGGATCGTCCTTTCACAAGCCATCCGAAGGTATACATAAGCAAAAATTTATTAATAATACTTGTGATCTTGAATTATTTCTATAACAATTAAACATGAGCTTTGGTTACAAGAAAGTCCAATATATTATTTAAACTATACTGCGATAGAATCTTATGCTTATTTCCACAATGTATTGTTAGAGGGATCCACAAACTGGGGAGTTGGTTATTATGGGAATAGATTCAAAGAAGCCATTTTATGTATTAGGAGTGATATCAGGTACCTACTACATTGACAGTATGCAATTCTACCATAAGCACTCCATGTCAGCTTGCCTTATGCCTCTCTCTCTCTCTCTCTCTCTCTCTCTCTCTCTCTCTCTCTCGTCGTACGTCGTACGGTACGGTAGGTAGGTACGGTACGTAACGTACGTAACGTTAACGTAACGTTAACGTTAAACGTTAACGGTT